CCCGGCACCACGAACATGGATCCTGGGGTGGCCCTTACCATTGCTGAGACCGTTGGTGAGAAACTGTCTGATGTCCAACACATAGTGACCCTTGTGGTTGTGGCGCAAAGGATATGGCTTGGGGTCACTCTCCAAACTGTTGAGGGTCATGCCGGTGGAGAAATCAATCATCATACCAGCCCCGTGAGGTCCCAGATGATCCATACCAACCAGGATAGGAACCAGCATAGATCTGTCAAAACCAGGTTGATGTAGCTCTGGTGGATTGGGCAGGGCATAGACCTTGAACTGTTTGGGCGTACCTGATACATCACTCCGGAGGGTGACCTGATAAAGAGCCTGACCCCACTTCCCATTCCCGTAGCGGAAATACGGGCGAGCGGATTGATCAATCTCCACAACGGTGCAGTGGTCCTGTGCCACAATGGACTGTATGAGGCCCTTGACAGCCTCTTCTGGGCCAGCAGATGCTGTGGCCCCACAGTCCACCATGCCTTCAAAATCACCGCTGGTGGATGGCATGGTGGCAGGCATACATTCACCACCGTGGAGGTCCATGTCCAGGCCGCAGAACTCGGCCGTGTAGGAGTTGACAAAACTTCGCGAAGGGGTCGCGCCATAGCCCTTACCAGATCCAGAGTGCTTGGATTTGCCCTTGAAGTACATGGCGTCGTAATCATAGTCCATGGAGTAGGTGTTCTTGCCCTTGGACTTGCCCTTCTTGGAGCCTTTGTGCTGGTAGAAGTCGTCGTAGTAAGGGTCAACCATGAACTGAGAGTTGCCCTTCTTGCCAGAGGATCCCTTGGGATGTGGTGCATGCCGAAGGTCGGGACATTGGCGGATGAAGTGAGCGCCGCCACAGTTGTAGCATTTCCCGGAGTTGCCCTTGCCGAAGCCTCTGTCACGGTGTATGGCGGCCGTGGCTCGTTTGGCTTCAGCCCAGGTACGACTTGCTTCTTGGGCCATTTGTTCGGCAAGCTGTTCAGCTTGATGTGCTTCCTTGAGCTTTGACTCCTCAGCCGGGTCGAGATGGGGAGAGGCAGGACTGGTGTCCTTCGACTCGGAGTCGTTGTCCCAGTCCCAGGAAGTCTGGTCTTCGGCAGTCCAGTGTTGGTGCCAATCCTGATCCCACCACTGGACACTGGCATAGTGATCGTGCCATGGATCAGGTCGAGGGCCAGGTTCTTGTTCTTGAACATGTAGATGATGCTGTACAGCGTGAGGTTGGCGTTGTCCAAGAAGTTGATCGTCCCACAGCATTTGCAGTGCTCGACTGATGGAGTCGTAGTTCATGCTGTTTTGGGTGGTGCTGAGGATATCACGTTTTTCTTCACTGGTCAAGCTGGCAGCCTGTAGAAGACGCCAGCCACGCAGGACGCCCATGATGAAGGAGTCGGCAAGGGACATCTCGTCAATGACATCCACCTGAGTGATGTCCAGTTGAGGTTGCGCATGAGGGATGTCCTTGCCCTTGCCTTTGCTGCCAGGTCTGGAAGATCTGCCAGGGGAAGCACCAGGTGCAGCATCAGGGGAGCTGCCATCCTGAGAGGCGTCCGTTGCCCTTGTTCTTGGTGGAGTGGTAGCTTCGTCGGGAACGGATTCATGCTCATCTTGATCTTGATCATCTTCTTGGAGAAAGGGCTCAGGTGAACCACTGGGGATGCCGAAGTCCTTGTCCTCCTGCTTGATGCCCTTGCGTTCCTCGAACAGACGAACCAGGGCTTCGGTGAACTCCGCGTAGCCGAGGGTCTCGCGGATGAGGAAGGCACTCATGCTCTCCTGGGGCAGCCGCTTGAAGGCGAAGTACTGGGCGCAGATGGCTGCCGTGTTGGGAAGGCTCTGTCTGACCAGAGGAGAGCCGGCCAGACGTCTGAGAAGATCTCGCGTACCATCTGGTGAGTCAAACAGTTGTAGAGGCCAAGACATGGCAAGGAGCCGTGCTGGGCCCGTCAATCGACTCACCAATTTGGTCGCGCAGTAGCGCCGCTTGTCCAAGGGGACGCTCATCACCCACCAGGCGACTTCACGGGTATACCGTCTCCATGTCCGTGCAGATCCATCCCATTGTGGGATATGGCCTTCCTTGTCTGACATCGTGTTGATGTTGAGGTTGAACTGGAGGTTGCCGTAGATGGTGTTCTCGTGGCCTGGTAATTGGTGTGTTCCAGGAGGTTGCCGTAGAGGGAGTTCAGGTGTGGGGAGATCTTGATGTTGTAACGCAGGAGGTCCTTGAGGTGTCCAGTGTGACCAGGATGGTCCTCAACGTCGGTACCCGACGGAGATCTACACCTCAGTCAAAACCAGGTTGCCACCCTCAAGGTCGGGGCACGAGCCGAAGGCGAAGTGCGGGTGTTCCTCGGACTCCCGGATCGTGTAACCGTGCTCCGCTGCCAATGCAATGACCGGGGTCAAGGAGGCTCGCAGCAGCCGAAGCGCACCTTTGCGCTGAGATCGAATGTCCACGCGCCCACTGGCGCGGTCGCAACCGTGGCTCGGTGTCGAGCGGACAAAGGGGCCCCTCTGTCTAGGGCCATGGTGGCAGCAGTGGATCAACAGTTGACATGTCACAACCGAAGGAATCGCACTTTCCCAACCAAACCAAACAACATGCGGCTTCATGGAGGTCCCAAGCCCTAGCCTGCCTGCCGAGGATGGCTCAAATCCCCGCCTTGGGATAGTGCGAGTGCGCGGGCGCCTTGTCTGCCTGGAGGGCGTCGCACTCCTGCGAAGGCGCATGGCTCCGGCAAGGCCGCAACCGGAGCCAAATCAGAAAGCACAGTAAATCTACTCACACAACGCATTGGGTCTGAAAACACATTGTAGCACCTCAAATCACTCTGACAGCACATTCTGCAGCAGTCCAACACGATGTGTCCTTTCCCCGCAGCCCACGACATGAGATCTCACTATCACATTGAGCATGGACAGCTGATCTTTCAGCTTGGAGGGCTCAGGCTCAAGTTCTCCCGTGACTTCAGAGTGCCTATCCGGTGCTGTCTGGCAAGAAACACTCCGCAGGTCTCAACCTATGCCCCAAGCCACGGCCTGAAACGGACAGGCTGTTCATAGCGTTTGTCAAGCATGGGTGTGGCTCAAAAAGTAGGTACCCAAAATTGGAAGCCAAAATGGAACCCTGGCAAATGGATCCAAGGGCACAACCGCGGTCCCTGGTGGTTTAATTTTGACCCATACCCACATGCGTAAACTCCCTCAACATCTCTAACATCCTACGCAGCTCCTGCGTCAGGCGATTCACCAAATCATCCTTCTCGGCAAAGTCTGCGCGCAAAACGTCGAGCTCCTGCAACTGAAACTCATTTCCCTACCCAAACGCTGCCAGTGTGCAATCTACTGGTTCCCGCTAAGCATGTTCAAATTGCCTCTCACACTGCACCTGAAACACCTGCATGCCCACACACGGGAAGTCTATCAACGGGCAAGCATGCTCATATATGGTGGCACATTGAACTTGCTTGGTGGTCTGCTGGCCTGTACGGCTTTGGCTGAAACAATGAATCAACCGCGCTCTTTTGCCCCATCTCTCGCAGGAACACATCCCAACACAATATCCTGACAGTCGTTCCCAACAAATGCCAGCATACTATCCAATCAAATGCTTCACAACCCCAGGCTTTAAGCAGCCAAGCGTACCTTCAGTCTATCATGCATGTCACGTGTTTCTCCGCCACCCTACTCGACCCTACTCCTGCGCCAAGCGCACTGCCAATGCATCCTTCTCCAACACCTCTACGCGCAAAACGTCGAGCTCCTTCAGCTGCAACTCATTGCCCTGAACGCCAACGGCACATGCAGTGCAATCCAGTACACACCCAACACTGCCTTTACACAAGCCCTTGAAATCTCTACCAAACCGGTCCAGTTATAATTGTTGTTCGTCACTCATTTGACCTGTTCTTTGACTTCTGTGCGCAACATCAACCTTGCTTGCATCTTTGTTGTATTTGGCTTTGGCACTAATATGAACATGATTGCAAGGTTGCTACCTGCGCCTTCATTTGAACACTTATTTTTGCTCGATGTGGTGTGTCACACTTTTTCTGGCCGACTGAACAAATATGGGCCGGTTGGGCCGAGTTGGAAAGAAAATGACCGATTCTATGGAAAAGGGTCGTGGCTATCCTTGCAGGCAGTTGTTTTGCATGGACGGCCCGCAACTGGCTTGCCATGCGGGTCATGATCTGTTTGCCCTACCTGGACAATACTTCTGGATTAAATCCTTGGGGTTCTCCAGCTGATGAGGCAACAGAGCTGGTGTTGTGTGATCCTGCAATTCTAGTTTTGACCACTTTTTGAGATTTGCGTCCGTTTGCGGATTGTTGCGTCCGTTTTGCGGGTTTTTGCGTCCGATTTGCGGCATTTTTGGGGCGCAATTTTGTGCCAAAACCGCAAATGGTCAGACCAAAGGCCAATTCTTGCTTCCAAGTCCTGTCCCTGTGCTGGCTCCACTTCTTAACGGCACGAAATTCAGGATTTGCAACAAATCTAGGCGGTGCCTAGAGCCGCAGGCTCAGCTGCCCCGAAGATGCTTCACAGGTAGGGAACGCACTGTTTTGACAAAAAGTGCTCGTTTCTCAGAAAACTGCTCGACTGTGATAACGACCAGTTTTGAAGGCCACTTCCAGAAAAAGTAGTCGATGTCCCAATTGAACAAAAATAAGTGACCGCTTGACGCTGCAGGTATATAAATACATGCCCTTGGGTGGATGGCCTGTTTACGGCTTCATGTGCGCGTACTGCAACATCGGCACACATTGTAAGCCTCCATAATGTGACCCGAAAGGGCGCTTAGTCGTCGTTGGGGGTCGCAACCCATCCCGCAAGACGATACCTATTAGGGCCGTCATGGGAGCCAAGGGAAACCCATTTCGAGGGTTCTCACATTTTTGTGACAAGCCTGCAAAGGAAAAAACACAATGAACAAAACACACGCCTGCTGCAAACTTTGTGTTTGGTATGCGACACTGACTCGGGGATCTCGCCTGATCCAAAGCTTGGGAAGCCCGAAGCTGGTCCAACTCCGCTTGGTACCAATGACACTCCTCGCGGGAGACGGACATGTGACAGCTCGCTTACATGAGACAACTGGAGCCTGGTCATGTTGTTGTGCAGAATTGGGCCTTGGGCTGTCCCCTGATCCTCCCCCAACGACAACAATCTTGTCAGTTGCTCACATACTTCATCTAGACTGGCCATCAGGTCTCAATCAGGTCTCATCACTTCACTTTTGCCCGGCGACAAACTTCTGGCCGCATTGCCCCCTGAGTATCCGTGTAAGAGGCAGGGGTTTATGAACCCAAGAATCGCCGACATACCCAAGGGTTTGCGACTTTCATCTCCTGTCGGCAACATCATGTCTAATACTCCAAACAAACCAAGGCGTGTTCAAAACAAGTACTTGCGATAATATGGGAAATTTACTTGGTGCACCGGCAAACTTTGGGAGGGTCCAATCGTGTCAAAATCGTGTCAAGGTCTACTTACTTGGTGCATCAAGGTCTCCTCCTGGACAAACAAATGAGCCACGTCCTAAACGACCAGCTTACGCCACTTTACGCGTTCGGAGTTTTGTCTTACGCACAGGTCGATATGACTCGACTCTTACTAAACATATACGCCGAGGTTTTGGACGCCGCTCAAATGGCACTTGAATGAATAGAACCAAACTGAAACCAATCAATCGATCTATTTTCCACCAAACTGAACCTAACAAGACGCCTATGCCTGCTGAATTTCCCTGGCCGCTCTCACCGTCCCGGAACCGTCCTGCGTGAGGCGCATCAACAAGGACTCCTTCCTAGCGGCCTCTGCCCGTAAGACCTGCAGCTCCGTCCGAACATCAGCCTCGGAGCAAGGGGATCTCCCTTTTTCCTGGTATTTGCAAGAAAAAAACACGGGGAAATCAACTAGAAATTCGGGGGCCTCTATGTTTGCCAACACTGAGGTGCTTGAGAGACACTGAATGATTGGTTTGATGATTTCAGAGATGGTCAGGCGCCTTGACTAGTTGCTTTCGTGCTGCGGAACATCTGCATTTGTTGCGGGTTGGTACAGGCTCTAAGCGCTTTGCAACCGCGCCAACATTCAACACGTGACCATGAATGAAGTAAATCTGTTAGAATGCAGTGTTACTTGCTGAAAGCCTTTGACCAGCCAAATACCTGGGGTTGCCTGAGGCAAGGCTGCCAAACACAGAGCCTGCCTGACATGTGTTCTGCCTGCAAACTGGAGAACATACTATAGATTCGGCTCTCGCATAGCCTGCAGAACAGCATATCGGTCCGATGCCCCTCGCATCGGGAATGCGAGCGGACGAATTATGATAAAGCACTCCTTGTCCAAGGTTGAATCATGTCCCCGGGTTTCCTCAACAGCTGCATCCAGACCCCGCATGTGCAAGGTGTTCAGCGTATTTAGCTTCTTCTTCTTCTTCTTCTTGTGCAAGGTGTTTTGCGGGGGGGTGCCATCAACAAGATGCCAAAGAAAACCAAAACTCCGGGGGCCCCAAAGGTTGACATTTCCAGCCCACCGGACTCGGTGAGAGCCAAACCCTGCGGCACTGTGAGCCCGACGTGCAGCTCCTCGCCGCGTGTGGCAGTGGGGAGAGGCCCGGCACCATGCGCACGGCCAAAGAAAAGCCAAGCAGTCGATGAAAAACCAAACCTCCGTTGCTTTCTGCTCCCCTGCTAAAAGTTTAACTTTCAGTGGTGTAATAATAATAAATGTTTGTAAGCAAAATGCACCAAAGAAACAATCCAGCAAGCGGACAAAGCAACACTGTCCCATACCACTCAAACACAACATGCCAGGTCAACCCAAACCATCTACCTAGTCCGTTGAGAAAACCACTGATCGAGTCCGTCCACCAATCCATGAATTCAGCTCAAGTCAAATAATGTCAAGTCAAATCAATCAGTCAAGTCAGTCAGTCAATCAGTCAGTCAGTCAATCAGTCAATCAGTCAATCAGTCAATCAGTCAATCATTCAATCAGTCAATCAGTCAATCAATCAATCAATCAATCAATCAATCAATCAATCAATCAACCAATCAAATCAAATCAATCAAATCAATCAAATCAATCAATCACTCAATCACTCAATCACTCAATCACTCAGTCAGTCAGTCAGTCAGTCAGTCAATCAATCAATCAATCAATCAATCAAACGAGTTGAAACCAAAACGAAACAAAGCCAGACTCAAACTCAATTCCCTGCGTGTGTGCATAAATGAATGAATGAATGGATGGATGGATGAATGAACGAACGAACAAATGAACGAACGGATGAATGAATGGAGGAGTGCATGAATGCATGAATGAACGAGCGGACAAACAAACAAACAAACAAACAAACAAACAAACAAACAAACAAACAAACAAACAAACACACCAACAAACAACATGAGTGAAATAATGAATGAATGTGTGAACGAATAAATGAACGAAGGAACGAACGAACGAGCGAGCGAACGCACAAATGAATGAATGAATGAATGAATGAATGAATGAATGAATGAATGAATGAATGAATGGATGAATAAACAAACAAACAAACAAACAAACAAACAAACAAACAAACAAACAAACAAATGAATGAATGAGTCAGTGAATGAATGAACTATCTATCTATCTATCTATCTATCTATCTATCAGTCCATCCAATCAATCCATGAAGCAGGCAAGCCAGCGATCGAACAAAGTCAGTAAGTAAGTTCAGTCGGTCGGCGAGGGAGGGGAGCACGCCAGTCCGTCTTTGGGTCGGGCAGTCAGCGAGGCAAGCAATTCGTGAATCAATCACATTCAGCAAACCAAGCAAACCAGCCAAACGGAAGTAAACGAAACCAACTAACTCAAAGCAACCTTATTCTACTAACCCAAGCACACAACGGGTTCGTCCGCGGCGGTTCGGGCGACTCGACTTGCTCCTGGGTAACGGTAATCCTCTCCGCCAGAACCGGCGGCTCCTCGAAGTCCGCGTCCTTGGACTAAGTTGGCTTCACGGTTACTGGTGGTTTGGCGGTTGGGAGCTTAGGGCCTGGTTTCCCATTTCTACAAGAACCGAGGGGTGATCTGAAGGAAAATCACAGGAAACAAAAAGCAACACCCCTGCGTCGCCTGTGTTTGAATTTTTTTGTGGGTGTTCTGGGTCACTTGCGGATATTCATGGAGATTGCTTCTTAGATTTTCAGATCAAACACATGGACTAGGTCAAGCAGCTTGATTCGCGGATTCTGAAATGGACATGCGCCAACCAAAGGCCTGGCCTGCGGCTTCAGGGTGATGTCCAACTCTGCGCACTTGACCTCATCTTTGGCGCGGGAAGCCTGACGCGCGGATCACAAGCGGACTCAAAGGCATGCACCGCTCAATTGCCCGGCCGCCTTGTTTGAAGAGCCCTAGGAACTTACGGGTGACGCTTAGGGGCTCACAAGTCTAGGGGATAGCGGGCACTCAAGCAGGTTGCATGTGAGACAGCACCAAATCCTTGGCAATAATGCTTACATTGCAAACCGATTGTTCTCCAGTCGTCGACACGTCGTGAAAGACGTGAAAATGAGACGCAGTTCACATCATGACTACAACTGGCCTAGCGGCAAAGCATGATAATACTCACCACGCGTTTCACATTACTCTGCATCGTTCTGCCCTTTCCGACTGAATCTCCCATGCCGCAGGCGAATCATGGGTATCAACCTCATACTCATCAACCACCTCACCAAATTATCAAGTAAACGATGTTAAACTGGGGTCCGTGATACGTCGAGCCGTGCACCAAATGGAGGCACCACACCTGACGGTCCGAAGTGGACACTAAGATTCATCACGCTTAGCTCCGCCTGTGCCTTCAGCGCTGCCACTTCGGCTCGCAAGGCCTGACGAAAAACCGGCCAATCGCTGGCTGCCTCCGGGATGGACGCTGTGACCCCCTTCAATGGGGCTTACCTTGCTATTGCAAACAACTCTTTATCCACCAAGTCAAGCAAGTGAAGGTATCTTACCTACTGTTCCTGATACCAGCGAGGTCTGCGCCGCTCGTGCCTTCGTCAACCCTCAAGTCGAGGGATAATGCTTTGGAATGCCATGCATCACTTGCAAGCATGGCCTGTGCTGAAAGGGGGGCTGCCGGCCAATGCGCGAGCACCATCGCGACTCGCGCAGTCGCAGGCTGGCGCTGCGAGTCACGACCGGCCTGCCAGCGCCGCCACACCCAAGAGAGGGTAGCCCAATCGACGCCACAGTCCTCGACGCCAGCCCGCTCCAGGTAGCCGCAAATCGGGCCACGTGGCTCGGCAGCCGGAGTGGGGCCCGCAAGCCCGAGTCAAGTAGCCCGCACCTGCTCCACCTCCATGCGCACGCGGCATGCATAGTGGCGATCCCAGGCCTCGGAAGGCCCCACTCCTTCTGGAACCAAGACAGCTCTGTGTCCATGTCCCGAGCCACGGGAATTGGAAGCCGCCACGCTGCTGTTCGCGTCTTTCGCAACCGGTGGCCACACAAGGCACCTCCCGCAAATTCCCAAAATTGGGGATTCGGAACACGGAGTCCTCAGCTGGGGGGTAATGCGCCACCACCACCACCGACCTCCAAAGCTGCATGGCTTGGCCCTGTTCCCCACGGGCGACCAGTCCTGCCATGTGAGCCTCGAAGTCGAGCAGGGACGCGGGGTGGAGCAAGCCAAAATGTCAGACACACGATAATTGATGATACATGTTCACCCATTGCCTGCCAAACTCTAAACATGGCATAGAAAGACACGGTATCTTTTTGAGGCCAGACCTCTCTGGGGTTGCTTCAAAAAAACCCAAACCAAAATCACCTGTAGGGTTCCATGATGTGACAAACCAAGGTAGGCGTTGTCCAAGAGCAAGCTAGATTGCCAAGTTGCTGCTTTGTTTCCCTACTTTACCCTAAGCATAGCTGCGTGTTTTTGCTGAGGATATCTTGGTCTAAAGGGAAACCAACAGAAACAACACTGTGGGTGTGAGGGGTTCCCCCTATTTTGACACACCCACAGAAAGCAACTGGCGATCTGGCAAAGGCTTCTGAGAGCAGTTGTCAGCTCCGAAGCAGATGCACGACGGCTCGATCTGTTAGACGCGCGGATCCTAGCAAATCGGTCAAGCACTCCAATTGAATGGCTAGGTTTTTCACCAAAATCTCGAAACCCCAAAGAGGCACTCCAAGCAATCTAGGTGCTTGTTTTTCTCTGTTTCTAGTTCCCGTGGTGTCAAAAGCTTCCCATGTCTGGCCTAGCCATGGCAAAAGTTTTCCCGGCCTCCACTTCACCATCTGCGTCCTCGAGTCAAACTCAATCTTCCAGCCAAAAGATTGGAAGAGACCAGGACCAATAATTCCTTCTGGCTTCTGAAGGCTTCCTGATTATCTTACCCAAACTTAAAGGCTTCGGTCTGATTCAAGTGTTCTGACAATCTGGATTGCTTGCAATCCAACCTGCTGACGCGGATACAAAGCAATCAGGCATGATGTGACCGTCCCTGAGCCATCTTTTGATCTATATACATGGAAATAGGAGGCCTCAAGTCCTCAAGCTCTTTTTGGGCACCCTTTGCTGGACATCATTTGGGTCGGGAAGCATGTCCACCCTACTTTGGAGGCGATTCCTTATTGAAATTCCTAGCCAGCTCCAAATGAACGACCTAGCTCTCTGCCTGTCAATGGCTGACACGGCACTACTAAAGTTTGGCACGTTAACGGTTTGTCAAAACTAGGCCCCATTGTTAAACTGATAAGCCAGCTCCATTGTTCCCTTTTTCGAGGGGGGGGGAAGCACCCCCTTTTCGTCCTCGCACGCTGAACATCGGCCACCAACGTGTTTGCAGTTGCTCTGATCCTCCAGCACATGATCCGCTGGTTTCTTTTCAAAGGACGCGCAACCTGAATTTCCCACAAAGAACCTTCTTATTGTCCCTTGAATCTCACTATCATGTGCGAGAACCCACACCCTTAAATAGCAGGATAACGGGGGTTGCTTCTTTATGTTTGTTTTCGTTTTTGAATCACAACACAAGGTATTGTTTTTCATACTGACAAAACAACTTGATAGTTTCTTTCCAAAGAACCCCTACCTTACACAATTGAGAAGACTTGCTCCGTTCTATATATGTCACGAAAGGAATCCCACCACAAAAGACACTAAGCACCAGGACTGACTTCGTCGTTTGTTGGTTTCTGCAGGGACCTTCGCCCTGAACAACAAAGAGACAAAGCACTTGCTCCCTTTCTAGGTCCTCCAGTAGAGAGGTTCGAATAAGGGTACCCTTTTTCTGTCTATTTTAGTAGCGGAACCCTACCAACCAAAAAAGGGGTGAGAAGGGGCACTGGGGGACCTAGCTTTGTAACATCTGCGTTTCCCCAAAAGCAAACTTTGCCGCGCCTCCGGCGCCACAGCCGCCATGGCCGCCTCTGCCCGCAGCTGGTCTGCCTCCGCGCGGTAGGCATCCAGCTCCTGACACTTTCGAGTCGCCGCGAGTCGCTGGGTTCAGTTCCCTGTTCCCCAAAAACATATCACAGGAACTCACCTGAATTGGCCAAAAGGGCGAAGTTGGAAACCACCAATGGAAATATGGGTGGCCCCTGTTTCCTTTGACACCACCGAGATGACCCGCGCAACGCTATTGAGTTCTCCGAACAAATCGACAGGTCTCCAACCGTGGAATCGGCCTACCTGCTGCAGCTGTGCCGTCGCACGCTCCTTGCGGGCTGCTGCCTGGTTGGGCCGGGGCAAAACAACAACATCTGGACGGCAACTGCTTCCTGGACTGCCTTTCGGTACTGACTATGCAGCCAAGCAGCCAAGTAACCAGGCAACCAGGCAACCAGGCAACCAAGCAACCAAGCAAACCATAATAGTAATATGTGACAAGTTTGTTGGCGCCATAGCTTCATGCTGGGACATCATGCCAGTAGAGTGGGCCCTTTGTTACAGTGGCTGGCTCAAATAAAAGGCAAAGCAGAGCTTCCAGAGGCGCGGTGCACCCAAGCAAAGCCCAGCAGGTTGGCAACCTTCAGAGCAGAGCTTCAAGAGGCGCGTTGCAGAGGATGAGGGTAATGTTGGCAACAGCAGAGTTCTCAGAGACGTTGCAAATGACGCGTGTAATGCCCAAGCAAAGCCCCGCAGGTTTGCGACATGCAGAGCAGAGTTTCCAGAAAGGCGTTGCAAATGATGCGGGTACTGCCCAAGCAAAGCCCTAAGAGTTTCCAGAGGCGTTGCAAATGACGCGTGTAATGCCCAAGCAAAGCTTTGCAGGTTTCCGACCTGCAAAGCAGAGCTTCCAGAGGGCGCTGCATATCTTCCCCATAATATTGCAAAAAAACTTACTCCACTTCTGAGTCACCCACGGAAACACTCATGATTCTGCACAAACAGTTGGGTCTTGGTTCCCCTTTTGGTGTTGCCAGGTCTTGTCTGCAAGGCATACTCCACGCCCACTCCCATCCCACTCGTCGCCTGCGCCTGTTCCGCCTGCGCATCCGCCTGTGCAAGGCGCATTGTCGCGTCTTACAACGGGGGCCCGAAGATGGCTGCGGGTTCCTTTCGGTGCAGAACACGCGTTGGGCAATTCAGGAGCTCGGCCTCCGCTCGCAGCTCGAAACGTTGGGCCTCTGCTGCCTGTCCAGGCTCATGCCGTTTCGCATCAAGTGACGGTTCCGCTTTGCATTCCCGTCAGCCCCCGCAAAGGGCACGCCCCCAAACAAAATACACGAACTGAGCTATGCTTGAGTCAGGCGAACAAATTTCAGCATTTCTCGCTGCGAGCCTGGGCCGCTGCTGCCTCGCTCTCCGCGTGGCGTGCAGCCTCCTGTGCCGAAAGAGCATGGAAATCGGATGATCTGCAGATGAAATGAGGAAAAAGGACGGAACAGCGAGATCGTGGCTGGATTACTTTCGCAGCAAGCTTGTCCGCGACTTCAAACCAACCATGGGAAAGAGCATGGGCAACAGGAAAGAGAGGAGTGGAATATGCAAAGCAAACGGAACAAGGCTTGAACGTAATGGAATCAGCGCCCCATGTTTGACACACCCCGCCTGCGCCATGTGCTCTATCGTCTGCGCACTGACAGAAAGCTCCGCATGCAGCCTTTCAAGCTCCTGGCATGTCGAGGCGCTGGAATCTTCACAATATCCAAGCGATCAGTGCCTCCAAGTGCCTCTTCACCTTGGCTGCCTCCTCCTGCTTCTGCGTGCGGCACTTTGTTAGCTCCTCTTGGCACAGCCCGAGCTCCTGACATGAAGGACCCGGTCAGTTTTCAGACCGTAGAGAAACGAGTCTAAGCGCACCCCAAGCCCCAAGCTAGTAGATGTTCCGGGTCCCAAGCTGGAAAAGGCTCATACTTTAGGATTGCCGCACGCATTAGGATCTTGAGGATGTCCACTATCCCCAAACCGCCACCCATGTAGCACGTGAGGGGTGTTTCAACTCTGTTCACAAGCCTACAAACCGCAGGAGACATCAACACCAGCACCTCTCAGCAGTCTGACACTGTTCCCAACGTATGGAAGTGGATGTCTGGGTGTCTGGGGCCTTGTCATCGTCTTGGAAAGCCCTCCGAAATCCCACGGGAGCTGCGATTTTCGGTATCCCACCCTCTTGCCTCAACTTGCCGTGCGAGGTCTTGGGCTTTGTGCTGGGCCTCCTGCTTCCATTTGGCCGCCTCCTGTTGGCATTGCTCCAACTCTTACAGGTGTTCGCGTTCGGCTTTTGCCCACCAGGGATATGTCATCTGCCATGTCGAGAGACTTCACCCGTGGAACTCGGGCCTTTCAGAGCGTCCACGAGCATTAGTTGCGCATTTCTCTCGTGGGGGGAGCAGAGTCTCAAGACGCAAGCCTGGTCGCCTGCAGATCCTGCCAAAGCAAGACACGCGCACATTTGGCAAATCACAATGATGAAGCCTAATTGACTTGCAAACCGGAAGTAAGATCCCTAAGGAACCTTCATCACAACGGGTTTTACCGCCAGAGCTGACAATTTGCCCAAACAGGTGCAAACTCAGTTCAAACACCCAGTGCCTGTGTGCTGGTGCAAATTCATGCCACGTCCGTCCCTGGCATGGGTCCCTCACTTGTTCTCCGCATGGGGATGGATGTCGAACGGAGACTGTTGCCCTCAAAACAAATCACAACCAAATGTTGGCAGTTCTCCTCAACCCTCGACTGCCTGCCCTGTGCCGGTCCTGGCTCTGCTGGGACATGGCCGTGAGGTTCTTCGTGTGCTTTCGCCGCAAGGCTTCGAGCTCTTCCTCTGCCTTGCAAACGCAAGGCATACCACTGCCAAACAAACTATGGGGGTTGCCCACTATATTGAAAGAACACTTACTCCACATCTGAGTCACCCACGGAAACACTCATGATTCTGCCCAAACAGTTGGGTCTTGGTTCCCCTTTTGGTTTTGCCAGGTCTCGTCTGCAAGGCATACTCCACGCCCACTCCCATCCCACTCGTCGCCTGCGCCTGTTCCGCCTGCGCATCCGCCTGTGCAAGGCGCATGTCGCGTCTTACAACGGGGGCCCGAAGATGGCTGCGGGTTCCTTTCGGTGCAGAACACGCGTTGGGCAATTCAGGAGCTCGGCCTCCGCTCGCAGCTCGAAACGTTGGGCCTCTGCTGCCTGTCCAGGCTCATGCCGTTTCGCATCAAGTGACGGTTCCGCTTTGCATTCCCGTCAGCCCCCGCAAAGGGCACGCCCCCAAATAAAATACACGAACTGAGCTATGCTTGAGTCAGGCGAACAAATTTCAGCATTTCTCGCTGCGAGCCTGGGCCGCTGCTGCCTCGCTCTCCGCGTGGCGTGCAGCCTCCTGTGCCGAAAGAGCATGGAAATCGGATGATCTGCAGATGAAATGAGGAAAAAGGACGGAACAGCGAGATCGTGGCTGGATTACTTTCGCAGCAAGCTTGTCCGCGACTTCAAACCAACCATGGGAAAGAGCATGGGCAACAGGAAAGAGAGGAGTGGAATATGCAAAGCATACGGAACAAGGCTTGAACGTAATGGAATCAGCGCCCCATGTTTGACACACCCCGCCTGCGCCATGTGCTCTATCGTCTGCGCACTGACAGAAAGCTCCGCATGCAGCCGTTCAAGCTCCTGCCATGTCGAGGCGCTGGAATCTGGGCAATATCCTAGCGCTCAGTGCCTCCAAGTGCCTCTTCACCTTTGCTGCCTCCTCCTCCTTCTGTGTGCGGCACTTTGTTAGCTCCTCTTGGCACAGCCCGAGCTCCTGACATGAAGGGCCCGGTCAGTTTTCAGACCGTAGAGAAACGAGTCTAAGCGCACCCCAAGCCCCAAGCTAGTAGATGTTCCGGGTCCTAAACTGGAAAAGGCTCATACTTTAGGATTGCCGCACGCGTTAGGATCTTGAGGATGTCCACTATCCCCAAACCGCCACCCATGCAGCACTTGAGGGGTGTTTCAACTCTGTTCACAAGCCCACAAACCGCGGGAGACATCAACACCAGCACCTCTCAACAGTCTGACCCTGTTCCCAACGTATGGAAGTGGATGTCTGGGTGTCTGGGGCCTTGTCATCGTCTTGGAAAGCCCTCCGAAATCCCATGGGAGCTGCGATTTTCGGTATCCCACCCTCTTGCCTCAACTTGCCGTGCGAGGTCTTGGGCTTTGTGCTGGGCCTCCTGCTTCCATTTGGCCTCCTCCTCTTGGCATTGCTCCAACTCCTACGCGCGTTCGGCTTTTGCTCACGAGCGACATGTCGAGAGACTTCACCCGCGGAACTCGGGCCTTTCAGAGCGTCCACGAGCATTAGTTGCGCATTTCTCTTGTGGGGAGCAGAGTCTCAAGACACAAGCCTGGTCGCCTTCAGATCCAATCAAAGCAAGACACGCGCACAATTGGCAAACTACAATGATGAAGACTAAGGTTGGACCCTCTTTAATGCTTCCCCCCCCCACCCCACCCTGAACAATGGAACCAGTCAGCTGGACCCTCTTTAGGGAAATCCTGCGGGTCGGGGTGGGACTTGGATGAGTTTCCATTTGATTTAGTATTGGTAGACTTGAGTTTCCATTTGATTTAGCATTGCTGGAGCTTCCTTTTGAGATTTGGAGCTGAGTTTCCATTTGATTTAGTATTGCTGGAGCTTCCTTTTGAGATTTGGAACTGAGTTTCAAATTGATTTAATATTTGTAGACTTGAGTTTCCATTTGATTTAGTATCGCTGGAGCTTCCTTTTGAGATTTGGAGCTGAGTTTCCACTTGATTTAGTATTGCTGGAGCTTCCTTTTGAGATTTGGAACTGAGTTTCAATTTGATTTAGTATTGGTAGACTTGAGTTTCCATTTGATTTAGTATTGCTGGAGCTTCCCAGTACCTACTTTAGCATTGCCAATTCTACTTTAATATCGCAAGGCTGGCTCTCAGATTCCCAGTACTTACTTTAGTATTGCCAATTCTGTTTTAGTATTGCCAAGGACCGTTTTTTCAGCAACCCCCGAAACCAGTTGGACACTAAAGAGGACCCCAAAACAGTCAAACTAAAGGGGATCAGGGGCTCTTGTGGGCACCCCCCTTTGCGTGACTGATGGCCCTCACTTTTGTGCAAAGAAGTTATCTTAAATTTGATGGTTTGGGAACAACTTGCAAAATGGATTTCCCAGATCTCAGGCCTTTAACCTTTGAGCTGGGGAGAGCTTAGGATGAGCCCCCTCCTTTGAAAGTAAAAGGCTGAGGCTTTGGTTTTCAATTTTCAGCAACCCCGAAACCAGCTGGACACCACACAGGACCCCAAAACAGTTTCATTAAAGAGGATCCCAATGTTTGCCAGGATTTGTTTGCCATTTTTTTGCCCGACTTGTTTGCCAAGTTTTTGTTGCCCATATTTTTTCCAGCGTTGTTTCCGGCATCTTGCGGCCAAAAAAACATAATAGAGGACCCCTAAAACAGTCACAGGATGCTGAATGACGAAAAAACACACTTTACACAATAGAGGACCCTATCATTAAAGGAGGTGTAACATTAATTCATTTGCAAACCGGAAGTACGATCCCCAAGTAAGGAACCTTCATCACAACCGGTTTTACCCCCAGAGCTCACAATTTGCCAAAACAGGTGCAAACTCAGCTCAGACTTGCCCTCAAAACAAATCACAACCAAATGTTGGCAGTTCTCCTCAACCCTCTGCCCTGTGCCGGTCCTGGCTCTGCTGGGACATGGCCGTGAGGTTCTTCTTGTGCTTTCGCCGCAAGGCTTCGAGCTCTTCCTCTGCCGCAAGGCATACCACTGCCAAACAAAATGTCGGGGTTGCCCACTATATTGAAAGAACACTTACTCCACCTCTGAGTCACCAACACAAACACTAATTGTTCTGTCCATCGGTTGGGCCTTGCAACATGTTCACCCTAAACCTCTTGGTTCTCCTTTGGGTTTCGCCAGGTCTTGTCTGAAAGGTAATGTTAGCACCCGATTAGTAATGGGATAGTCAATAATGCAAAGTGTATTTCCTTATTGTGGTTCACCCCCATTGTATAACTTAAAGTGGTTTTTGCCCTCGGGGGGGGGGGGGGGGGAAATCCGAAAAAATATCAACAAATCCAAAAATATCCACAAATTGTTGACGGTGGCCCACTTGCTTAAAAGCATCCCCTTTTAATTGGTTGCTCAAACACAAAACCCACAGCCAGCTGAAACCTCTGAAATTTGAAAACCATCCCCAGCCCTGAAACTGCAAATTATTTATTAAACCGTGTTTTAAAAATGAAGAGAACAAACAGGACAAGGGTACCCCTCACAGACCCCACTGAACCACAACAATGGCATTCTTTAGGGGGACCACGTTAGTTCAGAAAACTAGACCACGGTTGGCCCGAAAGCATCACAGCCCCGTGACCAATCGGCGCAAGTTGCTCTGGGCAAGGTGCTTTGCGCAAACTGGTCTGTGCAAGTTGCTCTGCGCAAGTTGCTCTGCGCGAGTTGCTCTGTGCAAGTTGCCCCGTGCGAGTTGCTCCGTGCAAGTTGCTCTGTGCAAGAAGCTCTGTGCACGCTGCTCTGTGCAAGAAGCTCTGTGCACGCTGCTCTGTGCAAGTTGCTCTGCGCAAGTTGCTGCGCGCAAGTTGCTCCGCGCAAGTTGCTCCGTGCAAGTTGCTCTGCGCAAACTGCTCTGCGCACGCTGCTCTGTGCAAGTTGCTCTGTGCAAGATGCTCTGCGCAAGTTGCTCTGCGCAAGTTGCTTTGTGCAAGCTGCTCTGTGCAAGAAGCTCTGTGCAACTGACTCTGTGCAAATGTCTCTGTGCAAGTGGCTCTGTGCAAGTTGTTCTGTGCAAGTTGCTCTCCGCAAGTTGCTCTGCGCAAGTTGCTCTGCGCAAGTTGCTCTGTCAAAGTTGCTTTGCGCAAATTGCTCTGTGCAAGCTGCTCTGTGCAAGTTGCCCAGTGCAAGTTGCTCTGCGCAAGTTGCTTTGTGCAAGTTGCTCTGCGCAAGTTGCTCTGTCAAAGTTGCTCTGCGCACAAATTGCTCAAGTTGCTCTGCGCAAGTTGCTCTGGGCAAGGTGCTCTGCGCAAACTGGTCAGCGCAAGTTGGTCTGCGCAAGTTGCTCTGCTCAAGTTGCTCCGCGCAATTTGTGCGCAGAGCAACTTTGACAGAGCAACTTGCGCAGAGCAACTTGCATAAGTTGCTCCCTGCAAGTTGCTCTGTGCACGCTGCTCTGTGCAAGTTGCTCTGTGCAAGTTGCTCTGCGCAAGCTGCTCTGTGCAAGCTGCTCTGTGCAAGTTGCCCTGTGCAAGTTGCTCTGCGCAAGTTGCTTTCTGCAAGCTGCTCTGTGCAAGAAGCTCTGTGCAACTGACTCTGTGCGAATGTCTCTGTGCAAGTTGCTCGCGCAAGTTGTTCTGTGCAAGTTGCTCTGGGCAAGTTGCTTTGTGCAAGCTGCTCTGTGCAAGAAGCTCTGTGCAGCTGACTCTGTCCAAATGTCTCTGTACAAGTTGCTCTGTGCAAGTTGTTCTGTGCAAGTTGCTCTGCGCAAGTTGCTCTAGTTGCTCTGCGCAAGTTGCTCTGTCAAAGTTGCTCTGTCAAAGTTGCTCTGCGCAAGAAGCTCTGTGCAAGCTGCTCTGTGCAAGTTGCCCTGTGCAAGTTGCTCTGCGCAAGTTGCTGCGCGCAAGTTGCTCTGCGCAAGTTGCTCTGTCAAAGTTGCTCTGCGCAAATTGCTCTGGAGCAATTTGTGCAAGCTGCTCTGTGCAAGTTGCTCTGTGCAAGTTGCTCTGCGCAAGTTGCCCTGCGCAAGTTGCTCTGGGCAAGGTGCTCTGCGCAAACTGGTCGGTGCAAGTTGGTCTGCGCAAGTTGCTCTGCGCAAGTTGCTCCGCGCAAGTTGCTCCGTGCAAGTTGGTCCCTGCAAGTGGCTCCCTGCAAGTTGCTCTGTGCAAATTGCTCCGTGCAAGTTGCTCCCTGCAAGTTTCTCTGTGCAAGCTGCTCTGCGCAAGTTGCTCTGTGCAAGTTGCTCTGCGTAAGTTGCTCTGCGCAAGTTGCTCTAGGCAAGGCGCTCTGCGCAAACTGGTCTGTGCAAGTTGCTCTGCGCAAGTTGCTCTGCGCACAAAATGGTCTGTGCAACTTGCTCTGCGCAAGTTGATTTATGCAAGTTGCTCCGTGCAGCTGCGAAGCACCGCGGACCAGGGGGGAATCGAACCCGCGACCCGCCGGTCCCGGGAGCAGGCGCGCGAACCACGAGACAACTCCCGAGGACCAGTTCGAACAACAAAAGTCGCAAAAAACCTTGAGTTTTTGCACCTCGACCATGCCGACCCCCGCAGAGGGTCGCGCGAGCACCGCAGAAATCGTAAAAAAAAAAAAAGGCACCTCGACCACGCCGATATACGCCGATCCCCGCAGAGGGTCGCGCGAGCACCGCAGAAATCGTAAAAAACCTCGAGTTTTTGCACCTCGACCACGCCGATCCCTGCAGAGGGTCGCGCGAGCCAAAACTAAATCGCAAACAAACCTCGAGTTTTTGCACCTCGACCACGCCGATCCCCGCAGAGGGTCGCGCGAGCCAAAACACAATCGCAAAAAACCCTCGAGTTTTTGCACCTCGACCACGCCAATCCCCACAGAGGGTCGATTTTCGTTTAGTGTCGTCGGCACTACCCCGCCGCCCTAAGGAGAAATTTTAACTCCTCGCAAGTCAATTGCACTTGACTCCTTGCACTTGCAACTTGCACTTGACTCCTTGCACTTGCAACTTGCACTTGGCTCCATGCCCTTGCAACTTGCACTTGACTCCATGCACTTGCAACTTGCACTTGGCTCCTTGCACTTGCAACTCAACTTGCACTTAACTCCGTGCACTTGCAACTTGCACTTGACTCCATGCACTTGGCTCCTTGCAACTTGCAATGACTCTCATGACTCCTTGCAATGACTCCTTGCAATGACTCCTTGCAATGACTTTCATGATGATGATTCCTTGCAATGACACCTTGTAATGACTCACATGAGAACAACTCAAGTGAACCCAGCGGAAGAACCCTTCGCCATGCTTTCGGGAATAAACTGTCAGTTGCTTTACTCAAAAGCATTCCCCTTTTAATTGGTGGCCCACTTACTTAAAAGCATTCCCCTTTCAATTGGCGGCCCACTTGCTTAAAAGCATTCCCCTTTCAATTGGTGGCCCACTTGCTTAAAAGCATTCCCCTTTCAATTGGTTTCTTTCTAGCTCAAGCCCTCCCTGGCTGAAAGGCACACCCTTTGAATGGCTACAAAGGTAATTAGTATTCCAAAAAGTATGCTCAGGAAGAAGTGGTTGCAATACCAAAAAGTCTGCTCAGGAAGAAGTGGTTGCAATACTAAAGCAGAATTCCAAAAAGGAAGTGCCTGCAATACTAAAGTAGAATTGGGCCACAAAATCCTCCATTGTTTGGACGTCCCAAAAGTGAGCCTACAGAATTATAGTGCCTCCCTTGTTGAGGGGGGGGGGCCTTTATGAATCAAGTTCCAACATTATATTCTACCCCACTCCCATCCCACTCGCCGCCTGCGCCTGTTCCGCCTTCGCATCCGCCTGTGCGAGGCGTATGTCGTGTCTTAAAATGGGGGCCCAAAATCGCTGGGTAGGAGCTGTTCGGCGAAAGATCGGAGCTCGGCCTCCGCCCGCAGCTCGAGACGTTGGGCCTCTGCTGCCTGTCCAGGCTCATGCCGTTTCGCATCAAGTGGCGGTTCCGCTTTGCATTCCCGTCAGCCCCCGCAAAGGGCACGCCCCCAAACAAAATACACGAACTGAGCTATGCTTGAGTCAGGCGAACAAATTTCAGCATTTCTCGCTGCGAGCCTGGGCCGCTGCTGCCTCGCTCTCCGCGTGGCGTGCAGCCTCCTGTGCCGAAAGAGCATGGAAATCGGATGATCTGCAGATGAAATGAGGAAAAAGGACGGAACAGCGAGATCGTGGCTGGATTACTTTCGCAGCAAGCTTGTCCGCGACTTCAAACCAACCATGGGAAAGAGCATGGGCAACAGGAAAGAGAGGAGTGGAATATGCAAAGCAAACGGAAAAAGGCTTGAACGTAATGGAATCAGCGCCCCATGTTTGACACACCCCGCCTGCGTCATGTGCTCTATCGTATGCGCACTGACAGAAAGCTGCGCATGCAGCCTTTCAAGCTCCTGGCATGTCGAGGCGCTGGAATCTTCACAATATCCTAGCGATCAGTGCCTCCAAGTGCCTCTTCACCTTGGCTGCCTCCTCCTGCTTCTGCGTGCGGCACTTTGTTAGCTCCTCTTGGCACAGCCCGAGCTCCTGACATGAAGGGTCCGGTCAGTTTTCAGACCGTCGAGAAACGAGTCTAAGCGCACCCCAAGCCCCAAGCTAGTAGATATTCCGGGTCCCAAACTGGAAAAGGCTCATACTTTAGGATTGCCGCACGCGTTAGGATCTTGAGGATGTCCACTATCCCCAAACCGCCACCCATGTAGCACGTGAGGGGTGTTTCAACTCTGTTCACAAGCCTACAAACCGCAGGAGACATCAACACCAGCACCTCTCAGCAGTCTGACCCTGTTCCCAACGTATGGAAGTGGATGTCTGGGTGTCTGGGGCCTTTTCATCGTCTTGGAAAGCCCTCCGAAATCCCATGGGAGCTGCGATTTTCGGTATCCCACCCTCTTGCCTCAACTTGCCGAGCGAGGTCTTGGGCTTTGTGCTGGGCCTCCTGCTTCCATTTGGCCGCCTCCTCTTGGCACTGCTCCAACTCCTACGCGCGTTCGGCTTTTGCTCACGAGGGACCTGGCGAGAGACTTCACCCGCGGAACTTTGGCCTTTCAGAGCGCCCACGAGCATTAGTTGCGCATTTCTTTTGTGGGGAGCAGAGTCTCAAGACACAAGCCACACTTTCCAACTTTGGTCGCCTTCAGGTCCTGTCAAAGCAAGACATGCGCATACTGGGCAAATTATAACGATGGAGACTAATTCATTCGCAAGCCAGAAGTAAGATCCCCAAGTAAGGAACCTTCATCACAACCGCTTTTACCCCCAGACCTCACAATTTGCCCAAACAGGCGCAAACTCAGTCCAAACTCCCACGTGTGCTGGTGCAAATTCATGCCACGTCCGGCCCTGGCAAAGTGTCCCTCACTTGTTCTCCGCATTGCCCTCAAAACACATCACAACCTGATGAGAGTTTGTTTTTCCCTTCAAATTTGGATTGACGTATCAAGCCCTTCCGAGAAACCTTCAGCGAAGCTTCCGCGATGTGAAGAGTATCCGAGAGCATGTTTCTAGATATGTGCTTCCGCGGGCCTTCCGCAGGCAAGTTGCGTCTGGCAACGAGGTAGCTTTGGCGACGGAATTCGTGTGCGCGGTTTGCTAGTAAACGTTCTTGGCAACAACCGCCCAAACGCATTCAAACTACTAGGCGCAATCAACAACGTCCCTTCCGCGACCGTGGCGAGGGGGAAACCAACATCCGCAAACCTTCCACGGCTGCAGTGCTGCGCTACCTTTTTTGCTGATATATCATGTATATATGTTTGCTTGAGCGGAAAAAATGCCGCCACTCAAATGTCGGCAGTTCTCCTCAGCCCTCGACTGCCTTCTGCCCTGTGCCGGTCCTGGCTCTGCTGGGACATGGCCGTGAGGTTCTTCTTGTGCTTACGCCGCAGGGATTCGAGCTCTTCCTCTGCCTTGCAAACGCGAGGCATACCCACCGCCCAAACTACATGGGGCGTTGCCAATCTCGTGGTGTGCGGGCATTCTGCCAGTGATCTTTCCACTGCGAAAGGCTGCACAACCACCATCAAGGATTTCATGTACGGACGCCTATTCAAACACAAATTCCAAAACGAAACTCTGCCGAGATTGTAATGCCTGACAAGAACATCCTTGAACATGTGGAGGCTGCGGACCCCCATTCTAAACACACACACACACACCTCTGCAACATGGAAAAGTCTGGGACTCGATTCGGCCGCCGCACGGTAACAGCAAAACAGTTGTCGGGGCCGGGTCGCACCAAATGGCTGCTGCTTGGGAAAGACTTTCTGCGTGCGGCAAACGAGGTGGTCCATGTATTTATCTACCCTTCAGGTCTAGCGAGGCACACACACACACACACACCTCCTTGCACATCATTATCATTGTGTCCATGCGTGCGTGTTACCTACAGGCAGCCCCCTTTGGCTGACATTAAGCCAAGGAACAAAAAGGTGACCCATGAAAAACATGGGAGTTACCTATTTACGAACCAGGCGATGCTTTTCCGCCTCCAGTTGTCTTGAGATAGCAGATGCCGGATCTTTGCGTTGCTGGCACTTGTCCAATTCTTCGCGGCACCGATCGAGGTCCTGGCCGGCCAAGGGGAGGTTCCACTGTGAATGTATCCATTTGAGTACCTAAAATGGGTGGTTTCCTTTGAGTTTCCCTTTAAACCAACCTGAAAAAGGGTACCATCAAAAAAAACAACTTTAATTATGAGGATGGCCCCCGGACTGGTTGGGTCCTTCAGATTATATATTCAAAAGCTTACATTCCTCCGCAACAGCTGCCGCCATGGTGCACTAGATTCGAAAGACTTTGCTCCTGCAAGGACCGGCAAACCTTCTCCGCCTTCGCTTGCGTTGCGAGTGTTTTGTTGCACTCTAGAACAACCGAGCAAACAAGTTTAGTGGAACCTGCCTAGGCACCTTCGCGCATCCGGTATCTCTCTGTGCCATGCTGGAGCAATTTAATTCGCCTGAAACAGGGGTCCTCGGCAGGAAACAAATAGGCATGAGTTGCGGAGAAAAAACAAAAGTTCCTTTGCGAGGTCGCTACAATTGCCCAGCCTGCCAATGGGGCTTTTCCGAACATCGGGGATCCCCCACATTTAAGGGATGGTGCTTAAAGAAACGCCAAACGGCCAGGCCAAAGGCTCGATTCCTGGACCGCTGAAAGTTGATTCTAAACCGCGCAAATCAGCAGGGAACACGACGGGAGGCTCCTCTTTTCATCGGCCCTTTTCGGGCTCCATGTTGAACTGCGGGCGGAGTGCCCCCCTCAAAAACAAAGAAGGGAGACAGAACTCCTTAAATTCCCTTTTAACACCCCAGCAAAAGGAAACTCGCATTCAATTGACCCAAAAGGTGACGTTTAAACCACCAAGAGCGGGTTTATGTGTCTCCAATTTAGGGACCCCTCCGGGTCATTGGTCGCCTTCAAATGTTCCCTTTGCCATCCAGAATGTGGTCCCGGACTTTGAGATGGACCAATATGGGTGTCCTTTCTTGTGGAACCCGGCATCCTTTTACTTACACCCCCCCCAGACTGGAAGCTCTCAGAAGGCCTCCGTAAATGGAACCAAGTCTGAAGGTGTCCTGGGAGCGGACGGGTTTATTGATAGGGGGTGTTCAAACCATTTCTTTCTAGGGACCCTTCATGTTCTTGTTCATGTTGACTCCATCTTTTTTCCAACCTCGGTTTATTAATCCTGGGCCAACATGGGAAACCCAAGAGACACCGCATTTTGGGGCGTCCCCTTTACGAAAAAAACCTTCGGCTCCTGGCTCTGCTGGGCCAACGCCTCCGCAGACCTCTGCACCTCGGCTTGCCAGGCATCCAGCTCCTGCGAAGCCGACCAGTGCCGTTGGGTTGAGACCCGACTTCCCTTGCGGGTGTCTCTGTTTTTGGGGGACCCAAATTGGTTGTTTTCCTCATGGTGTCCCCTTAAACCAACCAAACACGGGTGCCCGCGAAACACACCTGGAACCTCCCAGGTCCTTTTGTTGAGTTCCCTTTAAAAGGAGTTCACATAGGTACCCTATCGGCAATCGGTAGGCCAGGTCAACAAAGCAGAGTGAAAAAGGCTACCCTGAAGTTCGTCATTGCGCTCTGAACAGAATTCCTTCCAAGCTTTTGAGGGAAACGGGTGAACCGACTTATATGGGTGTAAAAGTTAGTTTGGGAAGTCTCTGATGGAAATCAATGAAGCATGGGCTCTTTGTCCGTGCATAACTTTTACAGGCGTCCCTGTTCCACCTGAAAACATGCAACCACAATTTCCACATTAAAGAAGGGATACCAAACAAGTGGGCGGCTACACAACGGGTATGGGCGGCATGAGGCCTTATATCAATCCCCTCGAGAACACACAAAGGGCACCTACTTGCCAAGTGGTGTGACAAAAGGATCTGCCTTGTTATGTTGCTCAACAGCACAACTAGGTCTACAAACTGGAAACGATTGATCCTCTTTGTGTGATCGTATCTCAGCACAAGGTGAGCTCGCTATAAGTTGTAAACAATCAATGCGGCCCCTGATTGAAAACGAAGGGCAGCATGAAAATTGTCCTGTGCAGTGCCTCTTTGCAGACACGCATGGCGATTAATAACGTCATAAGGTCGTAGCTTCAATTTCCGAGCCCTCGCACATCGGGCAGGTCCCATCGAGCAGCCCCATCAAAAGCCGACGAGGTCTCAGGGGAGGTGAACACCATGTGCCAACCATGCCTCTCTCAGCCCCACGGACTCTTATCTGAGATTCAACCACTTAACTGAGATTGACCGGACAGTTTGAACTTTTTGGCCCATGAAGACACCTGTCAACAAAACCCACAAAGCTTGCAAACTGAACAGAGCGATGCTCACCCCAAACAGCAAGCTGCGAGGTGGGTCCTTGGAACGGGAAGCGATGTCCTTCGCCATGCTTTGTGCCTGCAGCTTCCATTTGTCTAGCTCCTCCTGGCAAAGCAGCAGCTCCTGGGGCCAAGAAAGAAAACCAAGCTGTAGCAAAGGCGCCCTGCTCCATCGCCCCACCTCCAATGTAGTATCCCAAAGCAACATCTTCTTTGATTTTGCCCATTAGTCTACCAAGCGCCATTGAGTGCCACGCAGCATAAACATTGACATCGTGTTCGGCTGAGTAAAGAGAGAAAAAGAGGGAGACAGAGCACAGGCAATGCTCACAGCCATCTGTAGCTTAGAGGTTGTCCGGATAAAGAATGCATTGTGTAGCACAGTGTAGCTGGTAACAACCAGTGACCATCTCGTCATGAGGAATTGCACAGCTGGCGCTTCATGAACATTCCTTTGTGCGCAGGCATGTGTTTCGGGTTGCAATCCTTCTGCCGCACAACCAGCATGCTGATTTCTGGGCGAGTGGGGAGCGCATCCCACGGCCAGCGCAGGAAATCACGGCTATCTCCGAGGCAAGGAGCGATGCCTTGCAACAAGGTATAACTTTTGGGAACTGTACCTTGTTGGTTTCTTCGCATTCGCGTTGCAGCACATCGAAGTCGGCCCGCAAGCTGCCAATGTAAAACGCTGACTTGGTCCAAGGATGTGGCTGCCAGTTGAACAAGCAGCCTTCCGAGCACAGCTCGCCCCCTGGGTGCCACCCGCATTTCCCTTCAACCCCTACAAGCTCCATGGCTCTGGATTGGACATCGAGTGCGGCAATCCCATGGGAAAGGTTGGACTCTGCCATCCAACAGTCCCTCTTGTTGCCCATGACGGAGACCCGACAAACGTATTGCTTGCGTGACTGTTGGGTTGTTTGCGTGACTGTTGGGAGGAAGCAAAGTCGGAGGCTTCTGCAGCTTACTGCTTGCAATGCATCTGCAACAAATGCCTACCATGGTTCACAACCAAAGCCGTGAGTGGCACTAGAAAGCCCCTTGCGCTTGAAATGCTCTCAACCTGGCTAGCCATAGCCGTCTTGGCAGCCAATGATCCTTGGACCTGTGAAAGTTCACCAACTGTACATCCCCCCTTGCACAAACAAACACGAAGCCCAGGTGCAGCGTACTCGCAACCACCTGGGTTTGGCTTGCGACTCAAAAGCCTCGTTTTCTGAGCTGTCAAAGGCAAGATTTGCCATGACCTTCCCCAAGGCTTTCTCCCGGTGTTCCCCGCCGAATCCCGGAGCGCCTGCCTCCACCTGCTGGGAAATGATCTGAGCCTTCTTCTCCACTTCCGACTTCCATCCTTACAGCCATGGCCGACAAAAGGCTAAATCGGGGGTCAAATATCGCAACGATGGGCCATTTGGGCATGCTGACTCAAAAGGGAAACCGGATCCCAAAAGTTGAAAAGAATGCCATCAGGCAGCTTTGCACCTCTTGCCGGCACTGCTCCAGCTCCTGGCTGAGATCGGTGACACCATCCTGAAAGTAGCCCCTTTAGGAGGAAACTTCCGCTGCCCCAAAAGGATTTGTTGAAGAAGTCCACAAAACCTTCAAGGAAGCCATGAAATAACAATAGGGTCTTACCAAGCAAGGAACACGTTGACAATAGCAGGCCACGCGTGTTCGCAGGAACGGAAAGCCAATTGAAGTGAATACATCGATCATGGCTCAAACCGCCACCATGCAAGGGTTCTACAAGCTCTGCGAGAACAGCCTGAGCGGACCCATGCTGTTCTTTCTTTGAAGAACCCCCATTGTTTCACCTAGAGAGGGAAAAAGAAAGAAGGAAAGAAAGAGAAAGAGAGGGAGAGAGAGAGAGCGAGAGTGGGAGAGAATGACACAAGAGAGAGCGAGAGACGGAGCGAAACAGAGAAAGAGAGACAGGGAGGGAAAAACCAACGTAGAGAAAAAGAGAGAGAGAGAGAGAGAGAGACTGAGAGAGACTAGTAGACCAGCAGATTGCTCGGGCTGAGATAAGGAAAGCTACAACCACGTGACAATACGGGTAATCACGGGCAAATCAGGCTGGTGCTTGGTGCGTGTAAAAACTACAGTCTACAGGCTCAAGGTCCCGACCCCTCCATTATATGGAACTGTGCATATTATCGCCTTCAACACCCACCAAAAAGTGGCGCACCGAGGCCCCTCAACACGGTCACTGCTTGCTTCGACGCTTCCAGTTCCAACAGTGTCCACGTCCAACCCCAGAAAAAGTAGCTGATCTGGAACGCGACGAAGTGCGGCTTTGACATTTGAATGAGCAGTTATGATGCATTGTGGCCACAAAGCACCTAACCTTCACTGCAGTTGAAGGTTGTCACTCTGAAGTAAGCATGTTCCTGCCTTGCAAGAAAAAAGTCTGCACGAGAAAAAAGTCTGCATTGTAGACTGGGTCTACAGTCTCGGGAAGGTTTTCGTCACCAGCTCTTGGGCAGCTCCCCCCCCCCGTCCTCCGTGATCTTTGCACTTGCATGGCTGGCCTGGCAACGGAGCTTGCAACATTGGCGAGTCCAGGCATGTACTTGATCAGCAATAATAATGACGAAACAAATGGAAAGGAATTTCTCAGGATCCTTCATGGAGCTTATGTTACGGGCGAGCTGACTATGCAAAGACTGTCTGCCACCTGACAAAATCATTCGGATGAGCATATAGGCTAAAAGCAAACACTATTCCCTCGTCCGCAGGTCAAAGGGTGTGTGTGTGTGTGTGGGTGTGGGTGTGCGTGTGTGTGTGTGTGTGTGTCTTTGTGTGTCTTTGTGTGTCTTTGTGTGTGTCTTTGTGTGTCTTTGTGTGTGTCTTTGTGTCTTTGTGTGTCTTTGTGTGTGTCTTTGTGTCTTTGTGTGTCTTTGTGTGTGTGTGTGTGTGTCTGTGTGTGTGTGTGTCTGTGTATGTATGTATGTATGTATGTATGTATGTATGTATGTATGTATGTATGTATGTATGTATGTATGTATGTATGTATGTATGTATGTATGTATGTATGTATGTATGTATGTATGTATGTATGTATGTATGTATGTATGTATGTATGTATGTATGTATGTATGTATGTATGTATGTATGTATGTATGTATGTATGTATGTATATGTGTGTGTTTGGGCCCTGAAAAATGTTTCTCTTCTCTTAGTTTCCGCTTCAAGCGGCCAAAAGAGGGGCCATCAAGAAAGACACACCGAAAAAGGATGGACAACCTTTGGGGGAGGTGGTGCATCCACTGTCCCGCAAGGGCTGGTGAAAAATCGAGCTGAACATCAGGTTCGCAAGCAACCCAACCCCCACTGTGTTCAAAAGGCCACCCCTTTCTCGTTTCTTGGTGTTTGATTTGAAAGGGACACCCCTCAAAGGAAGCCCACGTGTCTGGGAGGGACATTTCGCCTATCTGAGTGCGCGAGGACTCCCCAACAGCGGGGATCCTCTTCAATGAGTACCCAGTGATCCATCAAGTCCAGTTTTTTGGGGGTCCGGATCTATAACTGACTATAACTGAGTTGACATTGCCCTAAGCCCCGCAAACGCCTAGCGAGGCAGGGCGGTATTACTTTGTGAGAGGAACCCCCCTCCCCCCCCCAACTCGCGTCCTGCATGCGCAAACGCTCCAGCTCCGCGTGTTGTTCGTCACACTCCTTCGGGGCAAAACAAATGACTGCGAATTCCAATGGGAGACGTTGTGGTGGCATAACCCTTTTTGAAACCCTCCAACGCCTTGTTCAACGCTTTCCTTTTTGTTTCCACCCTTCACCCCCCCTTTGGTGAACATCATAGGCGGGGCGTCATCTCCACCAGCTACTTTTGAGGTGGTTCCCTGTCCGGGGTGGTGCTGGACTTCTCCGTTGATCAATCTGGTTCTAAGGAAACACGTTTCGAGGTCCAACAAACAGGAAGTTGAAGGAGCCCCAATCAAAGACCAGCCGTGGCAATCGGTGCCAGGACTTTTCAGGGTGCCGTGCACTAGTCGCCCCTAGTCACTGGGTTACACCATGAACCAACAAGTCAGGGAACTGTGAAAGCTTTAAATTTGTGATGCAAGGGCAACCAAAAGGAATGCCATTTCCAGGCGAACTAATTTTAGACTTACCCATTGAATGCTGATGCTGCAGACTTTCACCCCAACGTCCAAAAGATATTTCAGTGTTCCACATCAGCATCCATCCGTCTTTGACATGATCATTCAGCCCCAACACGCGGGAACACATCTCTGCACAAACAAGAATGATGCGATTGAAAGGATCGACGCTTTCCATGGATAAGTGCTGGGCGGCAAGCTCAGCGTGGTCTTTTTAGGAAAACTCGTAATGAACCTCTGTGGCTGGGATTTGGGTCCCGCGTCACGTCGAGTTGTTGTTCCACCGCTCAAATCCACCCCAAAAGAAAAAATCTCAGCCCCGGCGATATGCCCAACATGCCCTGAAACCCTCTTGAATCCTGCAAGCTGCCCCAAACCAGGTAAAACCTATCTAGGCAGAGACCCCGCAGCTGCTGGGAAAAAGCGGTTCAACCTACGCCCCCGCATCCCCCGCCTAAACCCCCACCCCCGAACAAGCCTGCGACTTCTGCGCGGCCAGGGCACCCACTTGCGCCAGCTCATCCTTCAACTCTTGCAGCTCCTGACAACACCCGGGCTCTCCAAAGCCAACGCCCGGATTGAAAAAAAGCAAAGGCCTGCAGGTTGGCAACCTGCAGAGCAGAGTTTGCAAAAGGTGCGGGTAATGCCAGGAGCCTTGCAAACGATGCGGGTTATGCCCCAGCAAAGGCCTGCAGGTTGGCAACCTGCGGCGCAAAGGTTTCAGGGGGCCTTGCAAAGATGCGAGTTATGCCCCAGCAAAGCCCTGCAAGTTGGCAACCTGCGTCGCAGAGGTTCCAGGGGCCTTGCAAAGCCCTGCAGGTCGGCGCAGAGGTTCCAGGGGCCAATGCCCAAGCAAAGGCCTGCAGGTTGGCAACCTGCAGATGAGAGTTTCCAGCAGCCTTGCAAACGATGCGAGTAAAGCCCAGGCCTGCAGGTTGGCAACTTGCGGCGCAGAGGTTCCAGGAGCACACGATTATGCCCCATGGCGGGCAATGCCCAAGCAAATGCCTGCATTCAGAGCAGAAATTCCAGCGGCCTTGCAAACGATGTGGGTACTGCGCCAGCAAGGGCCTGCAGGTTGGCAACCTGCGGAGCAGAGTTTCCAGGGTCTTGCAAACGATGCGGGTTATACCCCAGCAAAGGTCTGCAGGTTGGCAACCTGCGGAGGGGCCTTGCAAGCGGTGCGGGTAATGCCAGGAGCCTTGCGAACGGTCCGGGGATTGCCATCGTTCAAGGCCCTGGAAACTCTGCGCTGCAGGTTACCACCTGCAGGCCTTTGCTGGGGCATAACCCGCATCGTTTGCAAGACCCTGGAAACTCTGCGCTGCAGGTTGCCAACCTGCAAGCCTTTGTTTGGGCATTACGCCTAGCAGAGGCCTGCAGGTTGGCAAGGGGCCTTGCAAACGATGCAATGCCCTAGCAAAGGCCTGCAGGTTGGCAACTTGCAGAGCAGAGTTTCCAGGGGCCTTGCATCCGATGCGAGTAAAGCCCAGGCCTGCAGGTTGGCAACCTGCGGCGCAGAGTTTCCAGGGGCCTTGCAAACGATGCGGGTAATGCCCCAGCAAAGGCCTGCAGGTTGGCAACCTGCAGAGCAGAGTTTTTAGGGGCCTTGCAAACGTTTTGGGCAACCTTGCAAACGATGCGGGTAATGCCTGGGTCGTGCGGGGGGGCCTTTCAAACGGTGCGGGTATTGCAGGTCGGCAACCTGCAGAGCAGAGTTTCCAGGGCCTTGCAAACGGTTCGGGCCTAGCAAATAGCAAAGGCCTGGACCCTTGCAAACGGGGCGGGGATGGATCAAGCAAAGGCCTGCAGGTTGGCAACCTGCGGCGCAGAGGTTCCAACCTGCGGAGCAGAGTTTTCAGGGGGCTTGCAAACGGTGCAGGTATTGCCCGAGCAAAGGCCTGCAGGTTGGCAGCCTGCAGAGCGGAGTTTCCAGAGGTGTTGCAAACGATGTGGGTAATGCTCGAAGCAAAGACCTGCAGGTTGGTATCCTGCAGAACCTGCAGAGCAGAGATTCCAGAAGCATTGCAAATGATGCGTAGCTAATGTCCAAGCAAAGCCCTGCGTTTCCAGAAGCGGTTAAACTGATGCAGGCAAAGCCCTGCAGGTTGCCGACGTGCAGAGCAAAGCTTAGTGGGAAATGCCCAAGCAAAGCCCTGCAGGTTGGCAACCTGCATCAGGTTGGCGCAAGCTGATGCCCGAGCAAGGCTTGCACTGCAGAGTTTCCATGCACCCTGCAGGTTGATGACCTGCTGCAGCTTGGCAAACCCCAAACAATCCCAAGAAGCTTGAACATCATGCAAAGAAGGCCCAAACAATCCCCAAGCAACCCCTTCTAATCTTTTTGTGCATGTGCCAAAAGGCCTAAGGCCTTCCCAAAAGACCCGCTTCGCCGGCTCGGATCCTGGGTTTCATTGGCACGGTCCAGGGCGCCCGCAACTCGCAGCTGGTCGGCTTCCAGGCGATACTGGTCGCAGTCCTGGCCGACCCATTGTCGCTCTTGTTCCGTTGTGCTACATATGGCTGTGGGTCACAAATATGTGCCCAAAATGGCTTGCCCTGGTAACTGGAAACTTGGACTACAACCTGCAGTCCCCTGGTGGTTTAATTTTGACCCACACCCATATGGCCGTGGGTCAAAATCCAAGTGAACATCCCAATCCCCACTAAACTGGGTGCTGCACCTACCCCAAAATGGTACCATTGGTTTTGACCCACACCCACATATAATAACCATGATTGGTGTTATCATTCACATTTTGCTTAGGGTTATTCACAGATGATCGTGATTGTTTTAGAGTGTTCTTGATGGTTATTTGTACTATCATGACTATGTGCTTCTGATAGCTCTCGTTATCATCAATATGATTATTTTGACCATTATTCTCGTACAACCATTGCTGTCTCGTTACTGAATCATTACCACGATAAATTGTCATAATTACGCATCCTTCCTTTCGGAAACCAGCCATGTTTCTGGATGTTTGGACAATTTTGTGAACGAAAGGATCCTTGATATCCATGAAAACGGGCAGCTGCTAATCCGTTTGAAACAATCCTGGCCCTCTGCTGCATTTCATGGTGCTGGGACTAGTCTCTTGTACATATCCAAACAGAGAGCCTCTCAATTTAATATATTATCAGATGCGTCAAAAACCAATTGGATCACGGTGGGCGTGGCACTCTTTGGACCAAAGGACTTCCCACGTCGACACATCCAACGGGCCGGAGGCAACTCGTCGAGCTCGGAGTCGCCTGCGTCCTCTCAGCCGCCAAGGCAGCCATCTCCGTGTACTCCCCGTGCAGTCGGCTGAGCTCCGCCATCGCCCACTCCAGCTCCTGCCGCTCTCAACGCGCCGCCATGGACACACAAAGTGCGCAGATGGACAGACACACGTATATATAGAGAAAGGCAGACACAACGCAAGACTCAACACACAGACACAAACACAACACACACACACACAGACACACACACACACACAGACACACGCAGTCGCGCGCACACACACACACACAAAACAATAAACTTCCACACACACACACACACATTTGCAACACCCGACACCCGGCACCCAACACCCTACGCAACAAAAACACAACACACACATGCACAACAGAAAACACACAACATTTAACACACATGCACAACAAAGATGCATACACAAGACACAAACACAACCACAACCACAAACACAAATACAAACTCACACACACACACAGACAGACACACACACACACAGACTGACAGACACACAAACACACACACACACACACAAACGTACACACACACACACCCACACACACACACACACACGCGCGCTGCTGACAAAAGGATGTTGCGACATGTGCTTTCTTGCAAGCCAAGAGCAATATGGATTCTGGCAAACATGTGAACAAAACAACATATGGAAAGCTTCTGGCAGGGTTTTTGTGTGTGTGTGTGTGTGGGTGCGTGTGTGTTTGGAAGGCTATCTTGGCCCTCCAGCTTGGCCAGACAAGATGGACTTGCATGCGAGCTGTCCAGCAATGCATGCAAAACTAACAGTCCAATCCTCAATAGGACGAGCCCAAGCCAAACTCTGCATCTGAAAACCTAGCATATCCTAAATTAGGAATCCCCAAGACAAGGACCTCCATGACATCATGATGATGAGTTTCTTTTGCCTCCAAGTGAGCTCGCCACCAAAAGAGCAGACTGCATGAACAAGCTGAGCATTCCCAAGAGAAGCTGTGTCAAACGAGTACTGAAACTGGCACACGACATGTAGGTAGTGTTTACACCTGGGGCAGCCCAATCGTTTAGAGGCGATGTTAACATGAACCAATGCATCTCTCTCGTACCGAATTCGACCAACCCACAATTGGCGCCTCCGTTGGCTCTGGTCATTGTTTTGCCTTCTGGGCTCAAAACAACGAAGAACTCCATCCCTGCTTTGCTTCGTTTAGGGCAAACAGGGCCCGTGCAAAAACATCAACAACTGGGTCCGTCCAAAAACTCTCAATGGTGATTTCAAGGAAAACCACCCCCAAGATCACTTTACGACCCCTTCAAAACCGACTTGAAGGCACCAAAGCAAATCAATTGAGCGAGTCGTCGTCCTCCGCCATTGCAGCTCTCTTCTGCTCGGACTCCTTCTGGACTCTCCGCAGCTCCTGAGCTAGTTCATTTGACGCCTTTTGGTGGACCTTGCCCGGCAATGGGGAAAAACTGGGAACGCACCAATTACCATCCCCTCTCGGTTTCGCTTCGGGTACAAGGGTGTCCTTTTTTGGGGGACCCCCAACAACGGCTGGTTTCCTTGTGGTTTCCCTGTTCTGAACCCGGTTCCCTGAGAAGAGACGCACCCACATTGACGATTGCAGTAGCTGAATCTGCAACTTGAACCCATCAAGGTCATGCCTCGAGAGTCCACTCAGGACCCCGGGATATCTCCCATCCACCCCACCCTCACAAAACAAGAGACAGAATCGCGGCATCGAACCCTCCCTGAACTCGAAGCACAATCAGAGGGGCTCTCAAAATTGTGGACCCATTCTGGGGTGCCTAAGAGAAAACCAAAAGGACACCAAAAGGAAATTACAAGGCCATCCAAACTCAGATGCCCAGTGGCCATGGCAAAAAACAGCATCCCTTTTTGGTTGGTTGACTTCAAAGGGGAACTCCTCAACTAGGCAAAGGACACTTAAAAGGAATTCACCTGTTTTAGGGCCGTCTATCCGAATCCATTCCCGGCCTCCGTCAAGCTCTGCAGATCCTGAATGCTTCGCAACGCAACTGGGCCACAGCCGAAACCGGAGGTTTACTCAACGAGAGCCTCCAAACGACCTTGGTTCAAAGGGAAACCAAACAGGAAAACCGCCCTTCCTGCTGCCATTTTTCGGGTTCCCCCACTTTGACACATACTCAAATGATGGTTGAGGCCAGTTTGCGTCCAGAAAGGGAGGAGACAAATGCTCCGGGGAGGGGGGGGGTAGGTAGGTAGGACAGCAATGGTTCTCAGGCCAATTGCAGGTTTTGCCCAGCAAATGTGTGCCAAACGGGATGTTTCAACAGAACCCGCGTTGAACAAGACTTCTATTGCTTTTTGGCTGTTCCGCGTGGTTGCAGAGTTGGTCAATCCTCAGCGGTCATCTTCTCGGTTCACATCTAAATGCAGGTCTCGTTCCAGAGTGATATTGGCCTAATTAGACAGGTTCTTCAAAGGACAACCAAAGGGAAACCACCCATTCTGTTGGTCCCTTCGAGAAAACTGAACCAAACCCACAAGCCGTGGGAGTTCTTCTGACAAGTTCTCCCAACTCGAACGCCGGGCTTCTACACCGGCCATGTGCACCACCTGCAAACAAAGCAGTTGCAGAACTTCCCAGTGTCCAGTCAAAACCCCGTACCCCCAGTGAACATCCCAATCCCCACTACAATACTGTAGGTTCTAAAATGGGTGGTGCACCTATCCCAAAATGGGCTCTAAAACGGTTTTGAACCATGGCCACATGGTTTCCTAGCACAGGTTATCCTTGGCCCTCAGACGTATCTCTCAAACCTGCCCGAACTTTCCCGGGATCGCCTCCTCTTTCTCTGAGATCAAAAGGAGGCCCGCGGCATCCGCAGCTTTCAGCCGCTCGGCCTCCGCAGACAGCTCTGCCACCTGGGCTTCGTAAGCTGAAGGAATATTTAGACTCAGCACTGCAAGCAGGGAAACCGGTGAAACCAGTGTGATCTATTTCTATACCATGGTTTTGTGGTTCGCGTGAAATACTTGGGGAATCCACCATACCATATATATATATATATATACATATTGGGGTTGGCCATTGTTAGTGGGGAACCCACCAAACAATACGGAAAAAAGGGTAACTGGGTAGACTCAAACAAAAAAGAAGCTCCCCTGACCTTACTAAAAGTTCATGGAAGCTCACACCTCTCCATCCACTTCCATGAAGTGGGTTCATCATGCTCAACATGTGGCAAGTTCGAACTCGCCGAAAGCACGGTAAGATTCCAGTGGGCGCCTCAGAAAGCCGCTTATCGGCTAAAGGCAGACTCAAGCAACTCTGTGTTTGTGCCTCGCCAGAGTTGAGTCTACTCAAGGAGGGCCAGCAGCCATTGCCCCCTTGCGCCCTCTAACAGGAATTGACTGGACATGGCATGTTTGGAAGCAAAAGCAAGAAACGAACAACACGTCCCCCTAAAACATCACCCCAGCAGAACCCTGACCATCGATGCCAACCATTTGCACAGAAGCCAACGAGTCCACGGGTTTTCCCTGCGAGTCGGTCACGATTGTCATGCGCTCGTATACAAAGGTGTGTAAAGGGAAGCAACAGGAAACCATCTACTGGTGGAATCCTCTAAATGTAGGTTCGCCATAGGCACCTTTCTCAAATGGCCCGGAATCAAGTTTGAACGCTGCTGATGGGTGTCTTGCTTATGGTGTTAAAAACGAGTCAAAGAGAAGCCAATTGTCTTCTTTTGGACTGCCTTGCTACAGTAGCTTTCCTGTAAGTGTCTTCCGCAAAGCCCCGCCCCACCCAAAAAGCAAGGATTCACCCTCTCGACACAAACGCAGCAACTCCCATTTTAGTCCACCATACTTTCCTTCACATTCACCTGAAACCCAAATCCAGATCGATTTTGAAAATTGTTAAGAACCCCCCCTATGTGTCAAAATACGGGGGACTCTACAAATAATTAACGGTTCCTGTTGGTTTTCCTTTCAGCCTTTAAGCCAACCTGAAAAAGGCATTCCGGTACTCTCAACAAAAACCGGCCCTTTTGTGAAACTTCCAGGGTCCCCCCTCCCTCACTCCCGAAAAAATTCACCGGCCTCACCGGCGGAGAAAGTCTGCACCGCCCGCAGCGTGTCCACCTCTGAGCGCAGCGCCTGGCGTTGAGCCAATTGGTTTGGTGGCGACCTGAAGTTCTTCAGTGTAACCTCAAGTGAGTCACAATCAATACCCGCTATTAAAATGGTCTACCCAGAACCATGTAAAACAAAAAAACAAGGCCGCAGCTATTTATGGTTGGGATTGTCCCTTACTAACCTTCATCTACCCAGGTTTGATTGTGGCTCAAGTTGCCCTAAGCTTGGAGGGGCAACCAAAGAAGGCACCTCCAAGTGCAACAGGTGGATGGAGAAAATATACTTGGCCATCAAGTGATTTAGCCCTGTAGTTTGTTCAATCCCAACGGCAGGATGGTGTCCATCCACAGTAGGCAATGTTGAGTCCGGGGTCCACATTGCAGGGTATGATTTGCCAACCGATCTGACTCAGGGGGTAGTAGTCTTGAGAAACATCAGGCCTGTATGATCATATACCTGTAAAAGGGGGTTGTGTTTAGAGCCCCCCCCCCCCCAAAAAAAAAGGCGGCCGGCCATGGGGCCTGAAGGTGTGAAAGTGTCACTTTTTGGACTTGCAGGACATTTGACCGAGCTAGTTCTGATTTTAAGACATGTTCCAGGATGAAAGGAGAAGCTCGTGTTATCCTCTGGCGATCAACTAGCGTGACAATACTATTCCATGAGACTGAAACATCTGCAAGCTTCGTGAGAGAACAACTCTCCGTCAGTATGCTCTATGGATATGAACACGAAATCCTACTGCTCAAAATTGGCCGGACACAATTACGTTTGGGTCATTGGCTCCAGAACTTTACTCTTTCTTCTTTACTTTTGGGTCTCTGGGTCCAAAAGGGCATTGGCTCCAGAATGCTTTTGTACTTTTTTGCTTTTGGGTCATGGGCTCCAGAACTTTACGCTTTAACTTTTGGGCTATTGGCCCAAACCTCGGCTTAGAACGGACCGGTTTTTAGGGTGCAGGGTTTGGGGTTGATTGACTCACGTTTGTGGAAATCGGACTTATTTCTCGTAGATGCTTGTTCAATGAATTTCATTGAAAACATGTTTGTTGTTCAAAGGAACTCGCTGTTGTGTGCGTGTTTACAGCGTTTAGCTTGGAATTCAAAGCATTCGATAAGGATAAACAAAAATCAAATTAGTTGTCTTGTATCAACATAGATTTAAAAGATGATTTTGAAGGGGATCTTTTCTAGGATTGTGTTTGTTCAATTGTCTAGTTAGAATTGAAACGGATTTAATAAGGAACAAACGCACCCGGGTCTATCGAGACCATAATAAGATGGGAGAAGGGGACAAGAGAAAGAGAGAGAGACAAATGGCTGTGCTTTGAGGCTGGTGAAGGCAGATGTCTCCTTCTGGATGACCCCATCCCCAAATGAGCAAAAAACATCGAGAAAACCAAAAAACAAAACATGCAGGCCCAATTTTCTGGGGTCCACATCGTGAGGTGACGAGGGGGCCATGGGGTCTGCATTTTTTGTTTGTTTGTTGTTGTTTGCTTTCTTGTTGCCGAGGTCTTTCCCAAATGTACAAAAAACATCGAGAAAACCAAAAAACAAAGAACCAGAATTGCAGGCCCAATGTTCTGGGGTCCCCATCTTGAGGTGATGAGGGGCTGCATTTGTTGTTTTGCTGTTTTACCGCTGTGCCAAAACTCAGGCCCCATGACCGACTCTCTGAAAACAAAAACATGGGGGTGTCAACGAGGGTAGACAAGACCGACAATCTAGCAGGTGTCCTGGGAAAGAATATAGGGACCACGAACACGTGACTGGATCAGAGTACTGCCCCAGCCCTTCTAAAACAGGTTCATAAGAGACCCCCAAACAGAAGCGAGCAAACACCCTCTACCTAAACTCCCAGTGGATTTGCATGGGAAAAAGGGGCGCGTCTTTGTGGCCTTTGATTTTAAGGGAAACCCCTCCCAAAAAGAACCAGGACGCAACCCACTGGTCCGGGCTAAGTGATCCTCAGGCGCCCGGGCGATTCGACTTCGACTCCGTGCCTCGCTTTGGGCCAGCAAGGCTTCTCGCTCCTGGCAACCACTTGGCTGTGGGTCAAAAATTGGTACCCCAAATGGAACCCTGGAAAATGGAAGAAGGACTAAAATCCGCGGTCCCCATGGTGACATGGTGGATTCATTTTGACCCATACGCACTTCTTTGATTTTGGCTCGACCCAACATTGGCCGCCGCTTGGCTAGGCAAAGTCAAAGAGTATGACGCATCCAAATCCCCATCCCAAAGGATTGGTAAAATGGCAGACCTACACCTGAACATCCACGAACGCCAGAGCTGCAACGTATATTCACTCCAACCCCATTCAGTTGCAGCTGCTCACAGCTGGAGAAGCTTTCCCACCCGCCCAGGCCAAGCTTAGGCACTGGGCCAACCGGGCCAATTCTTGTGCTTGTGCCAAGGCCCGAATCAAAGAAAGAAGGAGCAACGTAAACAAAGAAATAAAGACAGAAATAAACCAAACAAGCAGACCCGACAACCCAAAGAACAAACCAAGCAACCCCTCACTTGCTGAGTGGATGGCCCAAAAAAACTTCAAACTTTATATTTACCACTAAAATGGTCTTCCCAAAAAGTTTAAAGTTCATGAACTCAGGAAGTGAGACCCAAACACACCAAACGCACAATCAAACATGCACACATGCAGATGACAAGCAAACAAAACAACCAACAGGTGAAACAGACAGCACAACAACAGAACAATTGCAGCTACACAACCCTGCATGTAGCGCAATCATCGCCACCCAGCTGATAACTATCACACCAATCTGAAATTTGGCATTAATTTCAAAACCTGAAGCAATTATGGGATCCCTAACTAAATAAAGGACCTTTTGGTGAGTTCGTTGAACCCCCGAATCGGTGTATCAAACCAAGTGCAAAGCGTCACCAAAGGCTCCTCCTTCAGGTGCCGGTTCTCCTGCCGAATTCAAAGGGCAACAACGGGTAAGCGCATTGGTTGTGGTGACTGACCAAAAACCGGGGCAGAACCTCCAAGGAAGGATTCTTATGTACACAGCTGGTCAACTTATGCATTGGGTTGGTCGTGGACCCTCTGTATGCAATTTAGGGCATCCACCGCACAGACTGGGCAAACATGCAGTTCATAGTGGGTTTAGGTCTGGCAGGGTTGGATGCAGGATCCAAACGCACCCAAAGCCTGCGAAAACACGAAGCCGGAAGCCGCAAACACCCAGGTGGCACCGCCTAAATCCGCCAGAAGGCGCCCGTTTTGGGCGCTCGGCCGCGTTGCTCGCTCGGATTCGGTCGAATTCGAGTTCACAGCACTGCTGCGCCCAGAGCACCCAGTGCGCAGGTGAGGCCAAGGCGCAGTGCTCGGGGCCAACCCGCACCAAAGTCCTTTCCGAAGGTGAAACAAATAACTACATGTTTGGTTTAAACATATGTATATATATATATATATATGTTTTGTGTTTGTTTTTTCTTTAAGAAGATGAGCTTCCCCTGAATTGGTGACTTGGATTGGTGGTGATGGGTTGATGGACACATATAATGTACTTGTTTTCAAGCTGCATGTTTTCCAATGTTTCACAACACACCGTTGGTGTATTTGTTTGGTATGCCGATGTTTGTTCCAGTTATGGGGAAAAAACACCTTTCTCGTACAGGATAGCCCCTTTGCCAGGTACATAGATGGCCAAGCTCCTGTTGTCCCAGACACTTGCCCTAAAACTAACAATCAAGAAGAAAAACGACGACTAGCGATCCAGGTGCGAAACAAACAATTTGAAGCGTTTGCCCCCCGCCCCCCTCGGAATAATTTTCCAGGGTTCCCCCAAGTTTAAACGCTTGGCGTCGGAGACAGCTTACCGCATAGAAAACGGATCTGAGAGCACTGGGTGGTAAGTGGTAAGAGCCACGTAAAACCGCTCTTTAGAAGGTCTTCTGAAAAGCACCACCCTGGTGCCTCTGTGAACAACCGGGATATAAGCCCCGCAAGGTAGTAAGGGAAAGCAATCGCCTAGCGAAAGGTACTCCCATGTCACGCTTTTCATGGAAATCGGCCCAACTATGGGTGTCCCCATAATATAAAGGTCGAAAAGGTAGCCGGGTAGTTTAGTTCAATACCTCACAACCTCATTTCTAATTGTTTGGTATATCAAGATAGGGGAACCACAATCCCGGTTTACCTTTCGGCTTCCGTTTCAACCAAGGTGAAAAGGGCCCCCTCGCCCCATTTCACCCGCCCGTTGCATGCCGGAGCGTCGATCCACGTGCCCAGCGCGACAGCGCCCAGGGCCCCCAGCAGCAGCGCGCGGCCCAGGGTGCCGTGCCAGGCGAAGGCGCGCACCGGCGGGGAAGCGCCCAAGAGCCGGCGCTTCCAAAGGCCCAGGGGCACCTGGCCGGCTCCCAACAACTCTGGATGGTTCTGGGGGACAAGGGCAGCCTTACCTCCCTAGGTACCAAGGCTCCCTTGCGGAAAAAAAGAAGAAGAAGGAAAGACGATCGTTTAGGGACACCACAAGGGGATCGGTTTTTGGATTTTGTCACACCCGTTGGATTGATAGGGAATGAGCAATTTCAGTGGTTTGCCCCAAACTTCACCATCCCTGGCTTGCCTGGGGATCCCCAAAACCTTGTTGATTGGGAGGGAAGTTCTGGGGATTGGCAACAAGTCTGCAAAATATAAGATAAATCCAAACCTTGAAAGCGGTGTAAAGGACCTACATCATGGCTCATCTCTCGGTTCAGCCTGAATCGGTCGAATCACTTGGTAGGGTTTGCATAGAGCCGTATTTGCGGATTATGTTTCATATCCCTAGATATGGAATAGATTAGGAGGAGGCCACAAATAAAATGGGCATGCACTGTAATTCGGGACCCCTTGGTGGACATCATTCAGGCGGGGGGTGCCACCACTTTGGAGGTGGTTCCCTTTTCAAGTCCATGGGCACAAATGCCTAAAACAGTTCTGGAGCAGACCCCAAACAACTTGAGTAGAACAATCAATCCCCCAAGTGCCTGGGCGAGCGCGCCCAGGAGCACCAAGTAGCCCAGCACTACGTGGGCGAAGCGCAGCGAGCCGCGCGTCAGTGATGTGCCCTTCAGACCCCCGAGCTGGCCTTCTCCGTTCTCCACGTGGGCGCGAAACACCTGGAATCAGGCGCCATGTTTTGTATCCTCAAATTCTCGCGGCATAAAGGCAAGCCCAAGCTTCCGAATATGTGCCATACGCACAAATGGTGACTCTTTGGGCTTCCCTTTGAAACGACCTGAAAAGGGTTCCGAGCCTTAACAAACAACACAAACACCCTTGGACCAAAGCCGGCGAGGAGCTCTTGAGGACTTCTGGTTGAGGGAACCCAAAGCAATCGATGGGGAGTGAATGATACCAACCCAATGGCCAAAACAAGAACTTGTGGTTCTACCCCATTTCTATATATACAAGCATACACCCCATTTCTATTGACAGCAGCAGCTCTTCGAATGGATTCAAGACGGTTGATCCAAGACACAAAGAAGTACCCGGCGGCCGAAAGCCCAGCGACGCCCAGCATGCTCAGCATGTGCGCGCTCCGGCGGGTTTCCTTTTCGGCTCCTCCGTCGGCCTTGTAGGCCCAGTAGCCCAGCACAGCGAGGCATGGCCAGGCCAGGCCCATGCATACCACGTGCCAGGTGAACACGTTCCAAGGGCCTGTGCCCCCCCAAGAGGTCAGCAAGGCGCCTGCAGTGATCACCACTCCTACAGCCCCGGCGAGGAAGAACATGAAGTAGTCCATGGAAATTCTGCTCATGGCAAACCTGCAATGGACTCAACGCTGGCAATTACACTTCTCACTGGAGAGACATCTGCCAAGACTTCTGTTAGGTCTTAAAACCCGGGACCCCCAAAAACGCCGAACTGTCAACACAAAGGAGTGGGACCATCCACAGATTCAAATTACGTACGTTTACGTATGAACCAGGGATTTGTGTAAGGAAACATCTCTCTGAAGAGGAAAGGCTTGTGTTATCCGCCCTGGCATGGGCCTCGAGCGATCAAAAGAAAGATGACAACAGTTTGTACGTTCCCCTTTTAGCCCCTGGTCAACGGCCCGTGCCAAAGCTAAATTCAAACCACTGACATGCACAGAAGCCCACACACACACACACTCTGTTGCAAATCAAATCGCTAAGAAACCCTACACCCAAACAGATACACACACACAACACACACACACACCACACACACACACACACCACCCACCACGCACCACACAAACACACATTCCATGCACTCGAACAAACCGAAATGCGGCCATGGTGACATGGACAGGTTCAATTGCAGCCCTGCGCCCACCAGCAGCGTGGCCTCACCACAAAACAGGCCGAGGCCGGTTTTCGGCCCCGACTTTGGCAGAAATAACCACATTGCCATGGATGCACGGGTTCTTTAGGGTGACTTTCTGGTGTTGCGGTTGAAGTTGAAAGGTGGCTTTCGGGATCCGGTGCGGAACATGGCCCCCTCCCAAGAACCCTGCTTTCGCCCACCGAAAGGTTAGGCGAGTGGCCGCTAAGGCATTCAAACTCGCACGAGGGGAGCTCATGTCGCTGACCAACTCCTGCACTGCGCGGCTGATGATGCACCCGATGATGATCCCAATGAAGATGGCCGACTGGTTGAACAGCCTTTGCCATGGGTCTGGGCTTCGAGGATACCCTTTGCAGGTTGGATTGAACCAAAGCAAAACCACTCATTTACATATTTTGACACATACACAAACACACCTAGAAAGATGGAATCCACAGGCGGGTCGGAATTTTGTACGGGATTCTGCTTTTTTGCAACCTGGTGACCTATAGTTGGATTCACTGGGTGATATTTGATTGGAAGTGGACCCTGTGGACAAACATAAATGAATACTGTCCATCATGGAGAGCGTTCCAATCAAGACTCGCATCCGCTTGCCACCGAAGGGCTACTCAAAACAAGCGGATTAACATTGGGACGCCCAGTTCGCGCAGTGACCCAGGCTGTTGCGCAAAGTGCACAACAAACCACTCCCTGCTGGCCGGTTCAATGCTTGTGTCCTGGTAATGTTGACCCCGGATTCAAAAGATTAATAGGGGGTCTTCCCCCGAGAAAAACAAAAGGAGTGAAGAAAGCCCTCTACAAGGGGACACCACCCCAAAGATTCAACCAGGGGCATTCATCCTGGGCTCCCATTGCAAGTCAGCGAGTTGTGGTTGCAACGAGAAGAGTCAAGTAGCATAATGTTCTCCGAGCTGAAGAAGGACCCGCTTTGTGACCGCTTCACACAGAAAGAGGAGAGAACACCTGCCCAAAGCGCATTGGAGCAATAGGCCAGCACCGAGGCCGTCATGAACTGCAGAATGCTGAGCCATCTTGGCAAGGGCCAAGGCTGGAACATAAGCAGTACCCCTAAAAGCTGCATCAGTTCCAGCTTGCGCAAGAGCCACACGTCAGAGTACTTCCCTGCAATGTACTGCGAGTAGAGGTACTGGGACGCAGCCATGCAGGCCACAACTGCCACCTGAGTTGCGAGTGACAAGCAAAAGGGGAAACCTGCTTGCTGCGTTCATTCTCTGTCATCTGTGAGTTGAATCTGCAAAACAAAACAAAATGATATGCGCCCAAGACCTATGTCTCCGCTGTCGAAAAAGGAAACGTCAAACCGAGCCCTTGGCTCCGGGGCACAAACATGGCGCCAGCTTGGGAGGAGGACCAGCCGAAGGCCGCTTGCACTGCGATGACCGAGCCGCTCTCCCAGAGCAAGCGCTGAGCCATTCTCAGCACGGCGCTTCCAACCAGCGTAGAGAGCAGGGCAAGGCCTTGCCCCGAATTCCCGTCCTGGAACAAGGAAACCCAGGGTTCTACATGGCCTTCGAGAGAGCTAATCTTCGCAACTATTTACGGTGGATGTTGTTGCAACAATTGGAAAGCTAGCCAGCAAAAAC